AATTCCTCAATGGGATTTAATTGAGGAGACCATGTCGGTAAATATTCTCTATTTATTCTTAATTCATTTAAAACTTCTATAATACTTCTTGATCTGTGAAATGGAACATTATCCATTATCAGTATATGGTCTGGGTTTTGTCGGAAATAATTACACAGGTTATTTCTTATAAACCTTTCAAAGCTTTCAGCATTATAAGCTCCAGTTCTTAATTCATAAGCAACCACACCAGAAATATTTATTGCACACATCAAACTTCAATTTGTATTTCTGTTTCCAGAAACAATGGAATATGCCTTTTCATTTTTTTGGGAATACTCATATCGTCTTCTCAAATGCTGATTAAATCCTGATTCGTCTAAAAAGACCAATTTATCACTAGAAATACGAGAGATACGGCGGGCATATATGGTTCTTTTTTCAATATTTGCTGGGGAATTTCGTTCTTCGGGAACCAATGAAAGCCTTTTTCGCGTTATATTTATTTTCCCCAATTTCCTTGATACTGTTGATTAAGATATTACCATACCGGTTGCTGCATTAACTTCATTTACCATTTCATTTTGTGTCAGTTCATTATTTATTGCTATCGTATTAAATAAAATATTTTCGATTTCACTGAACAACAAATTTTTGTTTTTGATTGTTTGCTTGTGGCGTTCTCCCTTAGTAGCAAATTTGATGCCTTCTTGATGATTTCTTATGCAGTTTCTTACAGCACTTTGGCTAATGTTTAAAGTTTCGGCAATGTATTTAGTTGAATGATTATTTATCGAATTAGACATGTTTATAATTGTTTCATGAATTTCCTTAGTTATCGTTATTCGACTTTTTCTTGCCATGTAAGGTTTTCAATAGTTATTTTTTAACATTAATTTAAAAAACTTGCATTAATTAGATAAAAACGTTACTGATTTGGTTTATGTTTTTCAGCCAGTTAGTCATTTAATTTTTAATTACAATTTAATATTGTATTTTAATTCCTATGCATTCTTAGATGATTCTGAAAATGACCTGTACTATTATAATGGCATTTATTTATTGTTAAATAAAGCACTTTATAATTTTGCATAAAGCAATTTATAATTTTGCATAAAGCACTTTATAATTTTGCATAAAGCACTTTATAATTTTGCATAAAGCACTTTATAATTTTGGAATAATAATTAAGGAAACCAACATAAATTTAAATGTTCTCAAAACGACTAAAGAATCTGGCCGGTTTTTCGCAATTAAATATTATTTCTGTGGTCAGTTATCGAGTGCGATCGCACCCGCTTCCCGACCAAGCCTGACTATGGCTAGTTCCCCTTAATTCTAAAATTTGTGATCACATAATTAATTAGGAATTGATCTAGAATCTTATCTAACAAATGTTATTGAATTTCCACAAGATTATAACAATCGTTATTTTTCAAAATCATTAATGTACAGAAAATTAAATAACGGTGAATCTTATTTGAGAACCTGGTTACTATATTTACCAAGTTCTGATAAAATGTTTTGTGTTTGTAAACTTTATTATTCAGATAAAACAAAATCATCATTAGCCACTGTTAGGATCAATAACTGGAAACACATTACTGAATATATAAAATCGCATGAAAGTTTACAAGAACATTTAAAGCATTTTGGTAATTAGTTTGAAGCTAGTCGTAGGCTTAAAACAAATAAAAGTATTGATAAAAATTTGCAATCTTTAATTATTAGAGAAAGGGAGCACTGGCACCTTATGTCAGATCACATGTGCAACATAATTTTGTACCAATCAAGAAATAACTTACCTTTTCTTGGTTCTTCAGACAGATTATTTACTTCTAAAAATGAAAATTTTTTGGGTTTAGTGGAACTGTTGAGCAAATACAACACAACTTTAAACAAACATTTACGACGCATTTCTTCTTAAGAATCTCATGTAACATTGCGGAAAAGCAATTCAAAACAAGTTAATTTTTTTATTGGCATCCAGAATTAAAGACAATATTTTAAGACAAGCTAGAGATGCAAAATATTTTAGTATAATTCTAGGCTGCACTCCTGATGTCAGCCATACTGAATAACTCTCCTTTACATTAAGATTTGTTGATATTTCAAGCGATGAGATAGAGATTAAAGAACATTTTTTCACGTATCAAACTGAAAAATCCAATGGACAATCTTTATTTAAAATTTTGCAAAAGTTGTTGGAAGATCTAAATTTAAATTTAATGAATGGTAGAGGGCAAGGATATGGTGTTAGTTGGTGGAAATATGAAGGATAAGATAATGGTACAAATATGAAAGGTAAAAGAGCTTTTTTTATACCTTGTGGATGTCACTCTCTAAATTTAGCTGTAAGCGACTGTGCAACATTTTGTACTGAGTCTATATCATTTTTCTGTTTTCAGTATGTTCCATCTTGGTACTGTTTTCAGCTTCAGTACTTTCAAATTACTAAAGAGTCTGTTTCCTCAAATTTACTTTCAGTAAATTTGAGGAAACAGACTCTTCTGAAATTACCATTAAACACGAAGCTTATACATTATCTGAACAGATAAGCCCTTTTTATTTTTTGGTATTGCTTGTTACCTGGTATAATATTTTATACCATGTAAATATTGTTAGCAAATCTATGCAGCCATGGATATAGCTTTAGTAGTTTCACTTATGAAATCATGTACAGAATTTGTGACAACTGGATAATAGAGCAATTTACAGCTCTCGCAAAATAGTCGCCTAACTACCGTCCCATTAGTCTACTTCCTATCATAAGCAAGGTTTTTGAATCTTTAATTAAAAAATACTTAATCTCTCATCTCGAATCTCATAACCTACGTTCTGATCATCAATGTGGATTTCGATCTTCTCGTTCTACGGCTGATTTGCTATCAGTAATAACCGATAGGTTTTATTGCGCATTAGATAAAGGTGGAAAGGTTAAGGCCACCGCTCTTGACATTTCGAAAGCGTTTGATAAAGTTTGGCATGCTGGTCTTCTCCATAAGCTTTCTTCTTACGGTGTATCTGGAAACATCTTTAAGATTATTGTATCCTTCCTTTCCAATCGTAGTATAAAAGTTGTCCTTGACGGACAGCACTCTTCTTCCTATTCTGTAATCTCAGGGGTTCCTCAAGGTTCAATCCTTGGCCCTATACTCTTTTTAATTTACATTAACAATCTTCCAGATATTCTCACATTTAAGGTGGCATTGTTCGCTAATGATACTACCATTTATTCTTGTGGCATTGTTCGCTAACGATACTACCATTTATTCTTGGGGCTCACAGTGGCTGGTGAAATTTAATTCAGATAAAAAAATTTTTTCAGCCAATCGTTATTGCAATAATTTAGACCTTCCTATATTTATGAACGGTAATGTACTCGATGAGTCTTCTACCCTTCATCTTCTAGAATTAACTCTTACTTCTGATCTATCTTGGAAACCCTATATCAAATCTGTTGCAAAATTAGCATCTGATAAAGTTGCTTCTCTTTATCGAGCTCGACACTTTCTTACTCTGAATTCTATTCTCTATCTCTATAAAATTCAAATCCGGCCTTGTATGGAATACTGTTGCCATATCTGGGGCGGATCTTCTAATGATGCCCTTTCTCTTTTAGACAAGGTGCAAAAACGCATTGTAAACATAGTTGGACTTGCTCTTGCAGCCAACCTTTAACCTCTGTCACATTGTCGTAATGTTGCTTCTCTTTCTCTTTTCTACAAATACTATAATGGGCGCTGCTCGAAAGAGCTAGCGTCTCTTGTGCCATCTACTAAAATTCATTCTCGTGTTACTCGTCATTCAATTAAGTCTCATCCTTTTTCTGTTACTGTTCCTAAGTGCTCCAAAAACTCTTACTCGTCTAGTTTTTTTCTTCGAACATCATTTCTTTGGAACTCGCTTCCTTCATCTTGCTTTCCTGATTCATATAATTTGCAATCTTTTAAGTAGTCTGTCAATCGTTATCTTGCTCTACAATCTTTATCTTTTCTCTTCCAGTAACTTCCAACACTAATTAGTGGTTGCTTGCAGCTTTGTTGGAAGCGAAGATGTTAAAAAAAAAATTAAAAAAAATAATTATATAATATACCTTTTTAACTATATAATTAAAAAAGGTAGGAATAATGTACAAGTATAGTTTAAATGTTTTAATATCAGCGGATGTTTTAAAATCATTCTCTTATATAAAAATATTTGATTTGGAAAAATGAGATATTATGAAGTTAATTTTTTTAGCGTGTATTTTAAAAACTTATTGTTATGCGAACATAGATGGAAACACAGATAAACTTGAATGTTCTCAAAACAACTTGTTGCAGAAAGATAATGTAAACAATATTTGCTAAAACTAAAATACCGCCAAATCTACGAATAAACAAATTCTATTGGTTCAAAAAATACGCTGAATAAGCAAATTAGAGTTCCAGAATATTCTGAAGAAACTTTCTTAAAAATGTATTGCTTGAGTTGCAAAAGTAATAAATGAATCTTTGAGATTTCTATTGTAAATTGTTTTAAGAATATATTATCAAACAAAACTGATTAAATTAACATTTAAATTAATAAAAGAAATTTATTATAATCTTTGATAAATTAACATTTCTCAAACAATAATCGTCATAATTACGTTGTTACTTTGTATAAAATTTCGTAAAATTTTCAAGTCGGTATTTATTATTGGAAAATAGATATTTGATATTCGAACTAAATCCTGTTAACCGCAAAACCGGATAACCGGCAAAATCACTATATATATATATATATATATATATATATATATATATATATATATATATATATATATATATATATATATATATATATATATATATATATATATATATATATATATATATATATATATATATATATATATATATATATATATATATATATATATATATATATATATATATATATATATATATATATATATATATATATATATATATATATATATATATATATATATATATATATAAGAAAGAGTTGAAAATAAATAAGAAAAGAATTACTGTTGAAATTAGCTGTCCTCTGTTAGTTAACACTGTGTCACAATTAGCACATTGAAACAATCTAGAGCCACCAGGATGCTCCAAAAAAATACGCCCCATCAACAATTATGCAAGTTTCAATATATTATTTCTAAATAAATAAGGTTTAATTATCTATAATAATCATCCTAGATCATCATTATCAGTTTTATAAAAACATTTTAAAAGAGATTTTTAATGTGGAATTATGAGAATAAATAGTAACTGAAAAAGTAATAATTCAATAAACACAAGTTATTTATTTAACATTAAATTACAGATATAAAAAAAAAAAATTTTTACTTTCTTTGGTGGATGGATGTTTTTATTGTTAATTTTAACATGCCAATTTCAAATATGTGATCTATTTGCTTGTATCACATTAAAATTTTAAGAAAACTTTAATTGAAATTGACCACTTTAATAAGTTAATATACTGATATTTCATACTATTATCAATGAAAATATTTTAAAAAATTCTAACAAGTCTTTTATTATTTAAAATATATCATTTTATTAAAAAAAAAGAAATAAATAGAAAGTTTTGTCATTGCTCATAAACAATTTGATTCAAAACAAATATCAAGCTTATTAAGTAGGTTTAAACTTGTATACTGACTTCCGATGGTATTTTACTTCTGGGGCATTTCGTTGGAGCAACCAGTAGTAGTCCATCCTTGGTATCATGATTCCATCAAAGCAATTTCCTAATGGAAATGCTCTCCACGCTCATCACTTACCTCGTCAAGATATTCTTGAAAAAAGTTGAGATGGGAATCAAGAAGTTGAATTTTAAGAGACATCTTACATCCCATGTTCTGGAAGGCATCTATGCACTGTTTAACCACTTTTATGTTATTGCTAAATTTATTATTTCCCAAAAAGTTGGCAACAATGGATTTAAAAGCTAGCCATGTTTTAAGATCTTTTCCACTTAGTAGATTTTGAAAATGTTGATCACTTATTACTTTTCTAATGATAACTCAACTAAGCAAGTGTAGAATTTAAGTCAAAAATAGGTACCTATTTTTGACTTAAAGAGAATTTTGGCAGAAATCCAAACTTGATGTGTAAAGATGGTACATCTTTTTTTAAAACAGCATACAAACATTTTTTTGACCAGGTTCTATACAATCCCTAATATGATCCCTAGTAGGCCAATTTTTCTTTATAGTGTGCATCTCTATCTCGGCTTTTTTCACAAAATTCTGCTGAATTCCATTCACAGAGGGAGCAGCAGAATTCCATTCACAGAGGAAATAGCAGAATTTTGTGTATCCAAGTACACCCATGAGGATTTCAATGACTTTTAAATCTCCACACACTCTTCATTTGTAATCATTATTTATTTTTAATTAAAACATTACTGATGTTGTCATAAGTCTCTTTCAACTGTGTGGAGTATGCAACTGAAATGGAGGCAACACATTGCCATAAAAAGCAGCACAAACTTTAGGCTAGTTTTTGATGCATTGATGAAGAGACACCAGCTTTTGACATTTTGACAGTTTTTGAGGAGATAATCATTATCATTACAGTAGTAGATATTGTCATCTGATGTAAAGTACTGCATAAGCTCCTTGTGTCTGAAGCAAAACTTACATATTTTAACATCAGATGCTAACAAATTCCACTTTTACAGTCAGGATCCAAGAAGCTCTGTCTGCCCTTTTGTCAAAGAGAGATCACGTATAAGATCTGAAAACTCTGCATTATTTACTAAATGAATTACATTGCTTTCAGGAATGTAGTCATCATCAGAGTCGTTAATATTTTCTGGACTATCTTAATTGTCATTGTCACTCTGAAAAGAATCATTTGAGTAAAAAGAATGTAAATCAGGGGGAATTGGAACTGGCACTGTTACGGGGTTGTGAAGCACTGGCTTGGATACAGATTGAATGTTGGGATATAATACTGATTTACAAGTTTTAAATGAAAATCCTTTTATTACTGTCATGCAAAAGAAACAATCAGTGGCATGATTTGTTGGTTCACCCCATATCATTGGAACACCAAAGGGTGTTGACTTGTGTTTTGGTGACTTTTGCAACCATCCTGCTAAAGTATTCGCACAAATAGAGCAAATGATATACGGTTTCCACTGTTTCTCAAAATCATCAACTTTAAAGCCAGAATAAAGTTCATAAGCTTTTTTTAATAAAGGGATCATCATTTTTCGGTGGTCAACATCGATTGAATATCCAAAAATGTAGCAAAACAAATCAGAAGAATTCAAACATTTTCGAGTAGCCATGTCAATAATATTTATCATGAAAATAAAGTATGAAAACAGAGATCAATAAAATTAAGGCATAGAATATACTACCGATAAAGGCTTATTTTAAAAAAATGTTTGAGCCGGTTTTTTTTGGAACACGATGTGATAGAGTAAAACAGTTTTCAAATTTGAAATCAGCATAAAAACTTATATAAATACACTTATTATTGTATGGGAAAGAAAAATTATGTATGTCGTTGTTATTAATTTAAAAAAAGTAAAAAATAATTGTAGAAACAACGGTGGGAATATAAAATAATTTCTTATAAAAATAACAAATCAAATCATGCTTATTGTTATTCCTTATCAATATAGCATTACCTATACAAATACAAATTTGTAAAATAATTTTTTTGTCAAACATTGACTAATTCCATTTTATGTGTGTATATACATATGCAAGTGTGTATATATATATATATATATATATATATATATATATATATATATATATATATATATATATACATATATACATATATATATATATATATATATATATATATATATATATATATATATATATATATATATATATATGTATAAATGTATATATGTATATATATATACATATATATATATATATATATATATATATATATATATATATATATATATATATATATATACATATATATATACATATATATATATATATACATATATATATATATATATATATATATATATATATATATATATATATATATATATATATATATATATATATATATATATATATATATATATATATATATATATATATATATATATATATATTGTACTTGTATGTGTATTTACACACATATAAACACACCAATATAAACATAAAAATATAAATAACACCTAAAAATATAAAATTCAGCACCAAAATGGACAAATTTTATTAATAAAACTTGCACAAGAGTTTACTTATAAATGATGTTTTCAAATATCTTTTTTCTTTATTTTAATTTATAAACTAATATTCTGAGACATAATTTTAAACCCAAGGCCAATATTTTTATACTTCAATTTTAACACCACGGCTACATGTATATATAATTGAAGATTACAAATTTACAAGGTAGATTATTTCAAATTTATAAGTGTAACTCTTGCGTACAAAATATCATGCAACATCAATTGTACATTTCCTTACTAATAAATTTAACTTACATTTTAATAAATAGTCTTAATAAAAATATTAAAAAATAATCCTACATTCAAAAATTAATATTAAATTTTTGATTTTTTTTTAAGAATTCAAACTCATAATTCAAACTATAAATAGTAATTTCTTTAGTATTAATTTGATCTTTCTTTCTGAAAAATTATTTGAGCTAATTGATTACGAAAACCAGTCCTTGGACCAACTTCACTTATGCATTTAGAATATTGAGTAGTTTCAGAAGCATTACAGGTAACTGAAGTATAGCGACGTCTAAGATCAGAATCTACTGCTCGAAAAACTGATAAACGAGACTTTTTAAAAACTTCCAGTAAGCTACTAACAGGCTGATTTTCATCAAGAAAATCATTGAGAAGCATTCGAATATCTTTGTAATCTTTATTGTTGAAGCAAGCAATATCATCTGTGGATTCATCCCAGTACCCATTGTTACGATGAATATCTACAAAAGCTGGTTGATGCTTAGTTTTGTAAACTAACATTGGATTATATTCAGCAAATGGGATGGGAAAAAAAACCTAAAAAAAATACATTTACATAAGAATAATAATTTTAGAAAAATAATTAAAATAAAGAAATATAATTTTACAATAAGAATCTCGTCTTTTTATATTCATAATAATATCTAATATTATACATTTTCAATGTGTGTGTGTTTTTGTGTGAAATGTGTGTGCTTGTATTTGTGTGTGAATAACAATAAAAATATATTTAGATGAGTTTTCTAGAAAAAAATCTAGGTTGCCCCTGCCAAAGTTGAAACCCCAGCGTTTGTACCAAAGCCTACTCAGATGGCTGTTGCAGTATGGTGTCATCAGTAAAGATTCATGCACAGCATTTGTTTATTCTTGTTCATTTAAATCTTTGTCCAAATATATTTTGTTGCTTTAATTTTTAAAATGCTGACTTTAATCCTTAAAGTTTCAAATGTCTTAAATAGTACCCAAGTTAAGTCTTAATAATTTAACAGTACCCAATTTAAATATCAATTTTTTATTAACAATTTCTTTTAACATTCTCATAGAGTTTATATATTTTTCAGATTGACATGTATTTTAGTTTTTCTCATAATAAACACTGTATTTTTTAGACTGACATATATTTTAGTTTTTCTCATAATAAACACTGTATTGTAATTTTTATCAATTTTTTATCAATTCTTTTATATCCTTTCTAAAATATACAATTAAATAACAATTTATATACAAGTCTTAGATTTAATGATCTAAGTTAAGCAATTTTATTATATATGCCACTTGCTTTTACGATTAAAAAATTGTAAAAAATGTTTTTCTTATGTACAGTCTTATGTAAGTCTTTATGCATGTAAAAAAATAGAATAAAAATGTTGTACATATGTTTTACATATTCAATCACAAGAAACAGGCTTAAAAGCAAACATTATTTGAACTTACTTTTGTTATATTTGATGCAGGTAATCTGCAGTGCTTGAACTAGACTAAAAACTAGATAATGAAAGTCCACAGAAAAATATGAAACATTTCTACTGAAAAACTTTTTATATAAAGGAGAATAAGTAATAAAAACAAAAAAAACAACGAACAGATGTTTAAAATAAACACAAATTAATTTAAAAAGAAAAAGCTTATACATCATACCCCTCAATTTATGCCTCCTCCATACTGCAGTAAAAAAAGACTAGAAACAGCTAAAACCCTAACTTCATCCGAATTTTACTGGATTTTACGTATTGAATTGTACTTGCTTTTCCTTTTTGCTTTTACATATTAAATCGTACTTGTTTTTAGAATTAAAAATTGTAAATAATGTTTTTCTTATAGAAGTCATGTGAAAGAATAAAAAATGTTTTACATATTCAATTATAAGAAGTATATACTTAGAAGCAAACAATGATTGAACTTATTGCATTCAATATTTGACTTATTTTGTGATTTTAACTTAACTTTAGACTTAACATTATCACAAAAGATTGTTTTTTTTAAATAAAAGAACATGTTTTTATAAATTTAATAATAATTACCAGATAAGTGAAGCTCAAACATGTGTGAGCTTCACTTATCTGGTAATTATTATTAAATTTATAAAGAGTTTGAATTCATCAGCTTAAAGTGCTGTTATCCTAGTCAACAACATCTAAGCAAGAAGAATTTCTCAAATACTTAAAACATCTTTTGCATTTCATCAAATGAACTAGTAAATATTATATTTTTCGATAACTTCTGTTATAATTTGTTTAGCCATAGTCATTCAAAAATGTGAAATTTTTGGAGATTTATTATTTGTTTGCTTTATTATATTGCTGGATGTTACTTGAAACCCATGATTTGAATTATAAAAGAATTTTTTTTAAATTTCTAAATTTGCAGCATTTTTTTTAACTTGTAGCTTAATTTTGTAATCTTTACAACAATAGAAGCAATAGTATCTTATTAAAGTGTTAAATTTTCAGAAACTTGTAAACTACCTTCTTACTCATTTTCTTGTTTGTTTAAGATAAATGGATTTTCTGTAAATTAACAAAAAAATGTTATTTATAATTTCATTTTTATGTAGGCATGTATTTTTTATATATTTAAACATTTGTTAATTTAAAAAAATTATTATAAAATTCTTTTAAATTATTGTTTTTTGAAAGATTTTTTTTTAAGTTATTTTAAATTATGAATAAATTCAATACTTTTTGTGACTTGTTGCCTAGAAAAAATGTAGGAACATTTATATAAATTATACAAGGATATAAAATAGCTTTATTTACTTATAGAAATATGTACTTCATTGATTAATTAATGTAAAAGTTTTGAAAAGTATTTTTAAATGTTTTTAACTTATGATTTTTTTAAAATATTTTAAACAAATATTCTATTAAAAAAAAAAAAATTTTTTTCCAACTTTTTGGAAAAAAAAATGTTTATACAATTTAAAAACATTATATATAGGGTAACTTAATTGAACCTTGTCCACATCTGCACTAAAATTGATGTTGACAGACTATTATTAGACTTACACAGATGCACTATATATCATTAGATTTTATGAGAGTAATTAGTAGTACCATTTTAAATTGTACAGTATGTCAAAAGCACTAACTGAGTGACTTTAAAAAAAACTTATAATCGCCTAGGGCAACGTTATATACAGGTGAGTGAGATTAAATCTTTTTAGTCAATTTGTATGCTCAATTGCACCATTTTAATTAGAAAAGTATAAAATCATGAGATTTTTTTGAATGCAAACTTTTGCCCCCTTTTAGATTTTCACCTGAACCTGGAGGATTCTGAGATTAATCCTAGTTGTAATTGTAAAATTTGTAATTAAAATAAAGTTTTAACACATCACAGCTTACGGGCTGTAGTGATAAAAAAAATATGTTCTATTTGCCCCAGTCATGAATTTAATTTTTATATTGAGCAGCCGTGGCGCAGTGAATAGAGCATGGAATGAAAAGGCGTTGCAAGTTCAAATCCTGCTCAAAGCATATACGTTATCGGTTCTGTTTGAAATTTGGAACCAACTCATTAAATGCTTATGCCTTTGAAACAGTGCTTTGTGGTCTTATAACACATAAGACCATTAAAGTATTCTTAAATGAAATTAATAAAAAAGTTTATACAGATAAGACAAAATTGTATGCATTTTTTATTATATAAAAAATTTTGTCAAATATTTAGTTCATTATTCAGTATTGTTCTCAAGATCAGCCAATGGTTGCAATACAGATGATAGTAAATGAACTTTTTTGTTGTGTTGTAGACTTGTTGGCACAATTTTCTAAATTTTTTTTCTCAGCCAATACATTTCCTTCTTCTTTTTCTTTGAGTCCCTTAGCAGCATTGATAAGTTGCAGTTGTTTTCTTTTGCATTTTTCTCTTTCCTATTGGATTTTGTCTTGGTGATATTTCAGCTTTGCTGAGTATGCTTTTTGAGAAGTTAAAACGAAGTATGTAAGCTGACCTTCTCTAATCGCTACCTTTTTACGTGCAGTTGCCTTAGGATATGCCTAGACATCATCATCTTCTTCACCTGCATTGATAAAAACATATACTCAACAAATATTTAAATAATTTTAAAAATTTAAATAATTTTAAAATTGAAAATTCATTAAAAGCTGCATTGTTGCTATGAAACTATTGATCACTTTGTGAGATGATTGACTTACCAAGGTAGGAAGAGTTTGCTAACGGAAAATCTGAAACTGCCGTAGAACTAAATATTAGTGGTTCTAAGATTTCTTTTTCTTTTTGCTTAGTAAGATTGTTAAAACTATTCACAATTAAGCAACATTTTTTTCTTCAACTCAATTGACCAAATATGCAAGCTGCTTATCATGAACAACAGTTTTGGCTTTCAAAATAGAAGTGTTGCTTTGTAACGAACTGTTAATTGTGTTATCATATTCAGTACCATTTTGTAATTGTTCTAGATGATTTTCTTTTCCAGCATCCAGAGAAGCATCAGTCTGAAAATTTAATTTTTTGAACAATTGATGATTGGAATTCCTAAGAAAATAATAAATAATACTATTGAAATGTAAGCATAAAGTTAGTAAACTTTATGTTTTATTCAGAATTTTTATCAAATTGTACATAAAATATTAGTCACAGTTGCTAGCTAAAGTTTAAATAATAATTTTTATTGTATAATAGTACTAGCAAAAACACAATGATGCAATACTAACCAAAGAACAATTGTTTTCAGTAACTTCTGTTTCTTTTGCTAATGCTTGATTTTGATGTTTAGGTATATTTTTGAACATGTTGTTAAGAACTAAATGTTTCAGGGCACACCAGGTCACAAACCCATTTTCGCAAGCAAGATCAAAGCCTTTTTAAACAGATAATTGTAGCTTGTCAACTGAGCAGGATTCATTTCAGTTTCTATTCTTTGTAACCATTCTGATGTAGTAGGAGACATGACATTATTAACATTAATAAGAACTCCACTTTCTGCTGCTTTCTCACACGTACATTCAGATTTTCATTCTCATTTATGCCAATCAACAATTCACAGATACCATTGTGCAAAACACCAGCTATTGAAATGTCATCAATGGTTGTATTAGCTGATATATTCTCAACTGGATGTAGATATAGATTTGGTATATATGCATCACTAGGAATACCCTGAGGATTAAATGGATAAATTCCACATGACTTGAACCCAGATGTAATGTTGCTAAAAGTCATTGCTTTTTCTCAAGCTAAAGCAAATATCCCTGCAAAATTTGAACCACAAGTAATGAATGTAACCTTGTGCTTAGAGCAATAATAATCCTTCAGTGGCTTGAATAAGATAATTGAAGTAGTTTGATGTGTGTGAAGGCATTTCAACTATTTGTATCTGGTTTTGGAAAGCAATATCAATTAGCTCAATAAACTTGTGAGAGTTGCGCCCATCTAGAATCAATAACTGTTAAAAGTGTTATATTGTACACAATTATATTGTTACTTTTATTTACCGGTTTTATCTGGATTTTCTTGATTATACAATTTTTCTGATTGTAGAAGTTTTGTTACAGTTATATTTTATGGTTAACACA